AGTGACATAAATAACGTAATATATACTATACAGTATAAATATATAATCATAATAATATTATATAGTTAAGGTCGGACGAAAATACGTGTCTACAATTATTTTATTGTGGTGATATTAAATATATCTTTAATTTTATAATTGATATTATCTTAAGAGTAAAATACATAAATAGTATCTCGACTATAGAATATTATTTTGTCAAATTTCATACTATTAAAAGTTACAAAGTCGTCCTACGATTATACAATGTTGCTTTGTTGAATCATTGACTATTAAACTTATAAAATGACCACCTAATTATTTATATGTTCCAAACTCTTCCTTTTTCGTTAAACATTTGAATAGTAGGATGACCATTTTTATAACTTTTAATAGTTAAGGGACTCAACAAAATAATGTCTTATAATTGAATGATCACTTTATAACTTTTAATAGTCGAAGACTCAATTAAGTAATACCCTATAATCGAAAGATCATTTGTATACTTTACTTTGCTATTAAAACTCAAGCATATATAATTATGTATCTATAGTTTATATTATCAAATATAAAAATTAAAATGTCATATTATGCGAGTCAAAAATATTTAAGAAATTATAATTTTATATAGTTATATTTTTATGTAATTATTAGGATAACAAATTAACTTTTACGTAGTCGTAATACACGAAACATTAAAACAATTGTATATATATATATATATATATATATATATATATATATATATATATATATTAAACAAAATATAAATAAGTTATTTTTATATTTTATAATATAAAACAACCAGACATAAAAAAATAAAGAATAATAATATAAAATACCATAATATCATGTTTTCCCGCCCAAGATGCATTATGGTTCTTTAGAACGCAAAACACCGAACGTAGAACAACTTTTGGAGACTACAAAGAAAATAACAAAGCTAGCGAGAAATTATCTGATTTCGGAACGTTTTAGTAGTTTAAGTATGCTAGGAATTCTCAGAAATTCAAAAGAATTTCAAGGAGACATAGTGTCTGAATGTTCCGTCAGGTTCTTTAGAAACCGACAATGTAAAATCAACTCATAACGTAGAGGGAGAGAATCCCGAAAGAAAATTCCAAAACATTCAGAGAATTCTATTCAGACTTAAACTCATGAAAGGCGTTGAAATCAAAAGATTTTCTGCTTAGTTCGTCACTTTCTTTCTCCGGAGTCTCGAAAAACTATTCAACAGTCAACATTGTGTGTTCTTTCTTCCATTAAAGAAGGATCAAAGAAAACGTGGGCATAAGATACGAAAAAGAGGAACAAATAACATTGTCATATAAGAAGAGAGTAAAACAAACCTTGGAGAGCTCTTGATTCGTGGTTTGGAAGAGGAGAGCAAAACTGAGTGCTTCAGAGAATAGGGCGAGAGAGTGAGAACTCTCAACTATATATTTATAAGTAGGCCTAAAGGGCAAGAGAGGAATATTACGCGATGATGAAAGAACCAAAAAGCATATATTTATTCTTTAGTTAATGAAGCTTTCAAGATTCATTCATTTCAGGAAACAAATAATTAAGATTAAATTTTAATTAATTATAATAAAACAAAGTGGTTTGTGAATGTAAAATTAAATTCTTTAGTTATATTTGAAAAAAATCAAAGGGCATATATGGATGGTTTACAACATCAAAGGTTCTTCTAAGAATCCACTTCTTGAAGCGCCATTGGTCTTTATCTAGTACATGAAAACAGAGAAACAATGTTTAAATCTCAACCATAGAAGAAAAAAATCAAAGTACTTGGGTCTATATATACCATGAATCTTTGATTCGGTGCCTACTGACATTGATGAATTCTTTGTCAAAAGAATTAAGGGCTAGAGCCTTCAATCTCATGCAGACGTTGGGTTGTATAGGACATTCGTGTTTAACTCATATTCAAATGTAAATATAAAATATAATTACAAGTAGATAATAATTTGTAATAGTAATCAAATTGAAGTTAAACTGAAAATAAATATTATAGTGTGTAACATTAGTCCCCAACCAGTATAGAGTGAAATGACCCCAATAGCATCATGAGCAACAATCTAGCTATTATTGTAATGGGTGTAACATCCTAATCCGATCTGACTTGAAATCCATAGGATTAGAATATTACACGGAACCACGGAAGTGGCTAACCATTTTCTTTTTCATTTGAAACACCATATGTTTAAGAAAAGACATCAATAATAGTCATAAAATACTTTTACAAACCAGAGCTTCATAATATATAGTTTAAATCCAATAATACAACTTAAGTTTACAAGTCCAAATACATAAGTAAGGATCCTATCAATACATATGCCCACTACAAGTAACCTCACAATATTATGTGAGGAATGCTAGAAATCTTGCTACGACAGTGCTCCTCGAATGACTCAATATACTAACCAGCGAATGAAACGTCCGAAACTAAGCTTACAAAGCCCAATAGTATAATCACTAATCTAGATTACTATATGAATCTCATAACATAGGCATGCTAGAAGATAGGGTAACGAATAGTATGTATATGCATGATTATAATCAAGTGCTACCTACTTAAGGCTCAACAGTTCTATTACTACAATTTGAGCCTCATGCTTCCTTTAGTCTTCTACGAAGAGCCTCACCATGAGTATACATTTATTGGTTTTCTAATTGTAATTCCAAACAATTACATAATACAATATGCATGATACAAATCAAAACATCGAATATATATATACATATACACACACGTATGGTGGCATTGCCATCGTTTACGAAATGTTGCAGTACTGGTATTAAAGTGCCTCAGCACTGATACGAAAGGGCATTAACACTGATGCAGAAGTGTATTAGCACTGATGCTAAAGTGCTGGGGATATATCTAAATATTTCACATACATATACTTTAGACGATCGTCATTTACACACACAAGTAGCTTGGTGTCCTCATCATTTCCGAGTGACAAAAAAAGGTATAAGTCTTATGGAATCTTAACTCATAAGGGTCTTATGATTAGCACACAATTTACATTATTATCATCTCATTATTATTATAAATTTCTTCTCTAGAGCTAACGTCCCAACACATGTCAACCAATGCCACATGAAGACAATTGAAGTAGCTTGGCTGCTCGCTGTCGAACTCATCATGATTAAGTGAGGTAATCCCCTCACTCGACTTGATCTTTCTTGTTCTCTCATCTGGAAAATTATGAAAGGGCTTCTTAGTCTTTTAGTGTTTTATGCCCTTAAGGACATCAGTATTCCTTGCTACCCACTTGGTATATTACTATAGCATAAATTTGAGATCAATGGGGCAAGCAATACTTACAAAAAAAAAGGAGATATTGTGGTGGCATTTCCATATTAATATGTTAATTATATGGCATTAAAGCTTTACTTTTCTTAGATTAGTACATTGACAACTTTTTCTTTATCATTTTTTGTGTTATTTGGTAGTATTAATCAGATTACTGGAAATTGAGAACTTGATACCATGTTAAAACCCTTATAAGAAAGCTTGTTGTTGAATGCTTACTAATAGCTGATATATCAATGATTAACTCAACTAGTAATGCAGGTGTGCCATATAATCGTATACGTTTAGGGGTATCTTGCTTTAATATTCAAAATTTGAAAAAATTCCGGGTGTTGCAGGCTGCTAAGCATGCACTAATACCATATGTAAAATCTCGAACACAACCACCATTGCCATCAACGCCTCATTCTTCCTCGTCTTCTCTCCCTTCAACAACAGAAACTTCTGCCAACATGGCTCCAGGTAGAACTGGTGGCATGTTGGGTCGCAATGCTTCGGCTTCTCTCTCATGTTAGGTTTAGGTTCCTATATGTCTTTGTTTCCAAGCCAGTGTACCCCCTGTGATGCTATTTGTTTTCATTGATGATTTCTCTGATAATTCTACTGCTAATAACATGGAGGAGTCTTTAGTGGCATCCTCACTTAATCATGCTTTTAGCTCAAGCAACTTAACGAAGCCAACCTTGCCCATGAAAGGTTCTGCTTCTGTAGTAGTGTTAGCACGTCCTGCAAGTAAATCTGAAGGTGGTTTCCGGAAGAAACTGCAGTCATCCCTTGAGGCACAGATCCGTTTTTTAATTAAGAAATGCTGAGCACTATCTGGTTTGGAAGGCAGCCGCAGTGGGTCAAGAAGTGCGAGTGTTTCAAATTCGGCCCTCTATTTTCGCTTGATGCATCCAGGGCTGTCGTGCTGCTGGACAGGTCAAAAAATAAGAGGGGAATCTCTGGAGTTTGCCTCTGGTCTTGAGGAAGATGTTTTGGTTGGAAAAGCAACTTCAGATTCTGTTTTGCTCGAAACTCATAGTCAGAGTTCAAACAAAGAAGATCTATCATCTTTGAAGGAATCTATCTACAGGGAGTCAGATATTTTGCGGGGAAGAGGGGGATTGGCTAGAACCAACAGTGGCCTTGCTGCTGGTGTTGGTATGGTGGCTGTTGCCGTTGCCGCTGCCTCTGCCTCAACTGCCTCTTCAAAGACATTGACTACACATGAACTCCCAACTTTAGATGCATGGCTGTCTTCTAGTCAGCTTATTTTACATGGACTACTCTCTTCAAAGCGTGGTTGTATAGACAAAACCAAAATTTGTAAAAGAAAACCTCGTCGAAGTGTCACTGCTGGCCAGAGTGAAGGGGTTGCTTCTAGAAGCAGTGAATCTCTAGATATTGCAGTATCATTGTTGGAAAGTGGTAAAGGGCTTCACACAAAGTTCTCTAGTTTGTGGTGCCAAAGGGCCCTTCCAGAAGATATTTATTTGAAAGACTTGCCTGCTTGTTATCCCACATTACAGCTTGAAGCTCATTTGGAAAAGGCTCTTCATGCTTTTTTTTCAATGGTCAGGGGACCTGCAGTGGAAGTTTTTGCAAAAAAGATGGTGGAAGAATGCATGCCAACATGGAAACCTAGAAATCAACTTTATGATGCCGTTAGTTTGACTGGAAAACCATGTTTGCACCAAAGTCATGACCTTGAGACAGGTGAGTTGCCTTCAGGAGCTTTGACGAAACCTCATTCAAGTAGATACGTCTTTCTTCATGCTTGTGCTTGTGGTCGGACACGACGCTTGCGATCTGACCCTTTCAATAGATATTTACCAATATACCTGAAGTGTCCACACTGCAGGTCTGTCAGGAATAAAAAGGAATTGCCTAAGGCTAAATTTGCTGGAACAATATCACAGCTTCAAAGATTTTTTCTGGTACGAGTCACAAAGTCTCTCACACTTTTCTTTAAACTCTTCAAATTTTTTTAAAATTTAGTATATCAGTTTAATGACCATATGCCCTGTCCGATTGAAATGGAATCTGATCAATTCCATACATGCTTATCTTCTCTGAATGCATGATTTTTCATTGCTTGACTCTGAGTTAGAAGACTCTTGACATCTGAGGCAGGATAGCTCTCATGCTAACTGGTTCTATCTGCCCAAGTAATCAAATATTGTAATAGACAGTTTGTTAGATACTTGAAACATTGGAATTCTGACACACCGAATATTTGGTTTTAGTGAAGTAATTTAAGATAAAGTTTATAGTATCATCACTTGGGCTAGAAAGTACATTCTTCTCCCTACATTTTGGTTGATGTAATTGTATGCCGTGTTGTGATGGTCTTTGTTTATTAAGCTGTAGTTTAAAATACTTGTTTATATCTATATCTTAGTACATTTGTGTCATATAGAAGCATTTAAGGTTTCTCTCATGGTGTACTGTTTTCTCCATAAAAAAAATACAATGTCTTCAAAGAAAGGCAACTGTTTGGGGAAAAAGAGGAAAGAAGAAAAAGTAAGAAAGGCCCTCATTTTCTAAAATAGGAATAGCACAGCTAAAATCTTCTTTGTTGATGGTTTGATAAGTGGACTGGAGCATCTCGAGGAGGGCCTCTAAATCCTCTATTTTCAACAATTGCTTTAATCAATACCTAATTATTTTTGTTGGAATGATCACAGTTTATAATTCTGGAGCTTCATTAAGTCATACTTAACTGATAAGAGTTACACATGTCACATTTTAGGTGACTGAAACATGTAATCTATCCTTTTTTTACCTGTAATTACAATGTACCTGACCAGTGGAACCTGCTTCCAGGTCACAACTCCCTTTCCTGTTGTTCTGGCAACTTGTCCGGTTATACAATTCAAGGTATATCTCTTCCTCATGCATGAGTTATACTTCCACAATTTATGACATTAAAACGATGTTGTTATTACTCCTGGTAAGCCTTGTGTGCTTGAGGATTTTAGCAGGGGCACTTATTTATATGTCATCTTCTGATTTTCCCTTTATCAATGTCATAGCAACTTGATGATGATAAAGTGATGATTGATAGCTTCTATGACATGCATCTGTCATGGGAATAAGTGTCTTAAACTTAAATATGCTTTTCCAATGCGATCAGTGATTTTGTCTCTATTACTTTCTCTAGATTAATATTAGGAATTTGTAGTAGGAATCTTGCTTACCCTCATCAGTTCCAGACTGCAAACAGAAGTTGCAGTTCAGCCTTGGATGTAAAGTGATTTTACCACCCTAGAGTTTAGACTGCCATTTATCTATTGAGTACAACTTGACAATAAAAGTGTGCATTCTCTGAACCCCTTTGTAGATAAACCTGAAGTTACTGCTTGGATTGTTAGGGGCACAGCATTGCAACTTATGTCTAAAGTAAGTGGCCTCAATGAAGGATTTTACAAATAGTTGAAGTCACGGAACCTAGAATGTCTAAAATGGATATTTGCAACCCAATGACGAGTCTGCGGAGGCTGTGTGACCCCCTCCATCTAGACTCAGGTGAGAGGTTCGGGCTTTCATAAAAATTCTTAATAAGCTGTTATTTTTTTATCTTTAATTTATAAGTCGTTATTTGTACATTTTTTCTTAAAGTGGCATTGTTTATAAATTATATCTTCTCTCTTACTTAATGCACTTCTTTTCTAAAGAAATATTTTCATTTTTTTTTGAAGATGTGTTAGAAAGTACGTCGACAGAAATGTGAAATTTTAACTACTTTTCTTTTTGAAGATGTCTCATTAAATGGGAGTAAGGTTCAAGTTAGAGCTTTAATGGCCCAGAAAGAGTTCTCTTATACCCGGTTGATGTTTTGGTTTCAAGTTTGGATCCACCTAATGAAAGGTTTACTTGGTTTGAATGTCATTAAGTTAGAATTGGAGACTAAGATTTGGGCTAATATGTAGACTTACGATATCTCTCCATCTCCTCCTGAATGACTTCTACTAAGTGTATGAAATTTATTTTCCGATGTGTATTTGCAGGGCAATGATATTCATGCATTTGGTAATTAGTGATGTTGATAGGAAGGAAGAGGTAAATTGTGAATGTTTAGCATTCTCAGGTATTTATTTAAACCCTTTTATTGTGAAAGGGCAATTATTATCATTCTAAAATAGTTGGGTTTCATATCAAAATTGTAATTTGGACTTGTAGGTGGCTGGTGCTCTCAAGTGGAGCTTCCTGGTGATGTGTATGTTCTCTATCTCCTGGCCTAGACATGATTTTCTTCAAAATAACTAGTTCTAGTTTGGTCCTTTAAATGCACAAATGTGCTGAACTCGGACTTGGGGTGAGTGTCAAATACGGATACGTGTTTTGACATGAGCATGTTGATTTTTTTAAAATCTTTTAATTGTTCCGATTCATGTACCAAGTCTTTTTTTATTTTACATGCTGTAGAATTAACTTTATTTAAGATTATAAAACTTGATTATAGTGTTATTGCAGCTTGTGGTTGGATCGGGTCTTGGCCTTGAAAGGAATCAAGCATGCAGTGCTGGTCTGTCTCTTTTTGGAGATCGATGGAAAGGTCATTCAAAATCTCATTGCATGCACCTCATTTTTTATGCTCGGGAGAAACAGAAATGCCCCGGGTGAAAGAGGCTTCATTGTCGTAGAAATGATGCCTTCCCATTTTGGCCGAAAATGAAAAAGAAATATAGAAGCTTGTGCTTAATCCTAGAAAACAAGTTACAAACAAAATGGTGCAAATAGGCAGAGACAGATTCACAATGTGCACATCAGTAGTCTGCATCTTTTAGTTTTTTTTTTAAAAGGTAAGAATTTTATTCAAATCAAAAGGTAAAAGCATTGGTAGGAGTTTCATTAAAAAAACCTCCCTAAGCCTAAGTAGTGGAAAAAGAGTGCACCCTAGCCTATGACAACACAAGTGAGATGAACTTCCTGAAAAATAAAATCTGGGAAAACACAGGCACATGAAACACCTAGGATCTACATTAGCCACTAGAAAAAGAGAATATAGGGAGGAATAACGAGATATCCCCCTTCTAACTCTAACCCTCGAGGCTCCTGCTAAAATACTTGGGCACTTTGCCTTAAAACCAATAACACCGCCTTTACCTTCTGGAGGAAAAAAACGGAGAAACCAACACCTATGACACCCCTACTCCTTCTGTGAAGCATTATTATCCAATTACCTGTTTTGCTAACCAATCAGCCAAGGAGATGCACCTTCTAAGGATGAATTTAAGAACTGCGTTAGCCTGCAACAAACATGACGTAATAAGGAGTAGCATAGAAAACCAACTTGATGGGACGATAGATACATTCAGCAACCAGTTAATCATTACTGCACAATCTGATTCTATTTCCAGTCTATGAGTGTTGAACCATTCAGAGACCATAAATATTCTAAGGACATCCATAAAATCTATACTCCGAAGCTATTTGCTACTAATAAAGTAACTTGGGTGAACTGACCATTTTCCTGAGCATCAACCAATGCTAGTTTTATGTCATCCACCTTTTTCATCAATGTTAGTAAAAAGGGATAAACAAGCTGAGGAAAAGGAAATACTAGACATATTTCGGAAGGTGGAAATCAATATACATCTCCTTGAGGTTATCCGAAAGGTTCCAAGATATGCTCGGTGTTTGAAGGATCTTTGTACAACAAAGAGGAAGCTTTATGGGATCAAGAAGGTAAATTTGGGAGAACGTGTCTCAGCTGTTTTCCAATGAAAGTTAACAACGAAACTGAAAGACCAAGGTATGTTCACAATATCCTGTAAAATTGGTAAAGTTGGGATAAAATGAGCCATGTACGATCTTGGCACTTCTATTAATGTAATGACTCTCTCTGTTTACAATATTATTACTAATGAGCCCTTGAAGGATACAAAAATATAAATTCAGCTTGTCGATAGATCTGTCATTTACCTAGAAGGACTCTTGGAAAATGTGCTAGTGGAGGTAAACGATTTAATATTTCCAGCTGACTTTTATATAATTGACATGGAGAATGATTGCACCAGTACTTCTTTCGATATTCTATTGGGGTGTCCATTCCTAAGTACAGTGCACAAAAATATTTGACGTAAGAAGTGGGATTTTAACCATGGAGTTTGATGGTGGGATCGTTAAATTTGATGTGTATAAGGTAATGAGATATCCTGACAAAGTGGAGAGTATAAATTTTGTTAGTATTATTTATCCTTTAGAAAATGAGTTTGTAGAAACTAATTTTTCTTTTGATATATACAAGGAGTTAGAAGATCATGATGAGGAAACCAGGAAGTTGAAAAAATATTTTTAGATTGTGCCGATTTAAAATTGATTCTTGCTAAGTCTAATGTTCTACCTTCTGTTTTGCAGGCACTTGAGATAGAACTGAAATAAATGTTGAAAAACATAAGAGTGTCTGGTTATTGCGAATAAGCTTTCAAAGCTAAAAAAGATATGAAGAATAACCTATGAGAATGACAAATTCTACAAGGAGAAAATAAAAGAATTGTACGATCGTAGAATTTCTCATAAGGAAATTCTTAGTTGGAAAAAGTGTATAAAGTGGATGAAGTATTTCTCTTAGAACCTGTCGTCTGAAGTCAGGTCGTCGAGCTAAACAACATTAAACAAAGCGCTTTATAGGACGAAACCCATTTTTAATTCTGTTGCACTTTTATTCTTATTTTCTTTTATTTTGACTAAGTAAGTTTCATTTATTTTTATTTTTATTTTTCAGGAACCAAATGTTTTTAATCAAGCTTAATCGATGAAGGTTCGTGCAAATTATATTTGAACAGTGCAAATTATATTTGAACAATGCAAAAATCGGACCCTAGAAGCAGTAGCAGTCGCAGTAAAGTGGAAAACAATTTCCAACATGTGCGTGTCGTTTCAAATGACACACGTTAGCATTCCCTTAAATTGGTCGGCACATATTAGCCAGACTCTTAAAAAAATTATCACCCAATCTGCAACATATCTGCCGCTCACCACACCTCTCATTTTCTATCTTTCTCTGACCACGAGCCCCACCTATCCTTTCTCTCCTTATATTTTTCAGGTTTTAAACCCAATTTCAGTTAAATTAAACCACCCCCATGTTCCCTTCAGTTTAAACCAAACTCATTCATCTTCCCTATAATAACTCTTCATCCTCGATATACCTTTTGTTTGTTAAACCCTAAACTGATGAGCCTTTCCCCCACCACGTCGACAACCATTTCTGAACCAGTCATCGTTGTGCTCTTATCCGATTGCTACTCTCAACGACGGTTCACACAAGGCACCAAAAAATACACTGCATCACCAACCATCCTTGGTGGACATCATCGCCTCAACTCATCGGCTTTCGTTAAAGTGCCCAATGATTCAGAGTCGTAATCGTCATAACCTATTCCACACCCAACACAAGGCCAATGACACGTACCAAACTCCCCGCCCACATCGTATTATTCGGTGTTCGCCGCCACCACCTTTCTCCACCCCAGATTGAGCACTATTTATCGCGCTCTCTATCACGGTCCTTCCAGTCCATGCCAACCGTGGCCTCTTCTTCCTCTCGTCCACGCCCATCAGATTTCATGTCATTTTTAATGCATTTGATCATACTCCCGAGGTCAATTCCGAACCTATTTCCATTCAGTCGTTACTAATATACCATCTCATTCATGGTTTTACAGAAGCTTTAGATGTCAGTTTTCTATTGACGACACCACGTGACCATGCTTCTAGTTCACAACATCAAACCAAGCAGCCCACTTCACCGTCCCTCTCCACTGCGGTCGTGGTCGACTGTAAATTCGGGGAGTTCTATATTCCTTCTCTCGTACTTTAATTTTATGTTTTGAGATAAAACACTTTAAGTGAGGGGGAGTAGAGTCTAGATTGAATTTCCCTTTGCTTATCTCTATGTTTTGATGCTAGTATGTGTTGATTGAATTTGAGAGAAATATAATTGAATTCCTTTGTCTTGTTGAATATTTTTTGTATGAATGCTTGTTTGGGAATACATAATTGTTTAGGTTAAGATACTCTTCATAATGGATAGCATGAATTGTGATCGAGTTAGATTTCTTGTGATATTCCATGATTTTGTTGATTTAAATGTCCTTAGCTCAATGCATGAAAATAATTTGGTGAGATTTGAGCATTTAAGAGCATATCATTTTTCTCTCATTTTGTTAGATTGAGTGTGTCGAATTTGACATTGGTATTCTAGAACCTGTATTTTAAATACTGTAAAGATTACACATGAACATGATGCTTAAAAATGAATTGGGCACTTTAGGATTAACCATTTCATTTTCCCCACTAAAATTACCTACCCATGCATTTTCCCCTAGTTAACCACTCTTGAGCCTATTTTCATTCTTTATTTTCACCATATTCATAAATCGAGCCTTTTTTATTTTATCACCCTTTTCTACCCTTTTTAGGGAAAGTGAACAGTTAATCCGATGTATGCTCCATGAACAGAATATTCGGTTTTCACCATATCCCTCGCTAAGATCCTTATCGACTCTTCCTCATAGGTCATGTCTTGACTTACCTTGATCTACTCTAAGTGTATGATGTGAAATGGGTCATAACAATATCTCTTAAGCATGGATATGTGGAAAACGTTGTAGATATGTTCCAACTCTAGAGTAAGGTCAGGCGATAAGTTACGGGTCTAACTCTATCAAGTACTTCATATGGCCCTACGAAACGCAGGGTCAACTTTTCTTTACACCCAAACTGAAACACTTTCTTCCATGAAGACACCTTGAGGAACACTTTATCTCTCATGGAAAACTCGATATCCTTACGTTTCAAGTCCACATACGACCTTTTATTGTCAGAAGCTTCCTTCAACCTTCACTGAATAAATTAAACCTTTTCTTCAGTTTCTTCAATCAAGTCCAAAATCACAATGTTTCCTTCACTGAGTTACATCCAGCAAAGTGGAGTTATGCACTTTCATCCATATAAAGCCTCGTACTGATCCATCTGGATATTGGACTTGTAACTATTGTTGTAGGCAAACTCGACTAGTGGCAACTGGTCCTCCCACTTACCCTCAAGGTCAACGATTGTGCACCTAATCATGCTTTCTAGGATCTAAAAAACTTGCTCAGATTGGTTGTCAGTCTAAGGATGGAAGGTGGTGCTAAAGTGAAGTTTGGTACCTAATTATTCATGGAGAGCTTTTCAAAACCGAGAGGTAAATCAAGTTTTAATCTGAAATGATCGATGTCAGTACCCCATGCAACCTCACAATCTCACGGATATACAATTGTGCTAGCCTCTCTAAGGTGTAATCCATCCGAACCGCTAGAAAGTTAGCAGTCTTGGTCAAATGGTCAACCGTAACCCACACTACATCGTGTCTTTGCCTAGTCATAGGTAACCCTATCACGAAGTCCATAGTCACTCTGTTCCACTTCTAATTCAGTATATGAATCGGCTGAAGCAATCCTGAAGAAACCCCTTGTTCTTCTTTAACTTGCTGACATACCAAACACTTGGCAACGAAAAGGAAAAAAAAGGAAATTAGCGTAAACATGACATCTATTTCAAAATAAAAT